TATTATATAATATTTGCTTCCAATACGACAAATTCTACATCTCTATTGGATCCTTGCAGATTTTCTCGAAACGACGTCCCGGTTGGTCTTCTAACCTATCCTGTGCTACAGTCCGCCGATGTTCTTATGTTCAAGGTGCAGTAGTAGAGACTTGATTTCTTAGCTTTCCATCCTATCGATGATTTAGGCCACCCATGTCCCAGTAGGAGCTGATCAAGCTCAGCATATGAATCTCCTAGCCGATCTCGCTGATCATTTCAATTCTCATTATCAAGTTGCCTATTTTCCCAGACCTCAACAGGTAATGTCTCAGTAGTGTCTTATCTGATATCAGAGCTAAACTGTAGATTTTACAGGTGATACGAAAACTCTCATCGCGTATCCGAAGTTTACGAGATCCCTTGAAGAAGATGAGCAAATCGGAGGCGAGTGCGAGGTCAAGATTAGAGGTGAGAAGCTTATCAATTGCAGTTCAAAATTATAATGCTGTGTACCATCATCAAAAAAGTGGTGAGCAAAGACTTACTTGATTTATTTATTCTCTCTGAGTTGTAAACAATTAAGTGTGAAAAGCTGAAAAAAGTAAATTTCGAACATAGCCCAACATCTACCAAAATCGTCATCAGCTGGATTCTCCAATTGTGGATGTGCATTTTCCAATTTTTCCAATATTAAGGGAAAGCTGTGCAAATATACTATGGAACAAATGCTATTCTGAAGCGATTTTTTCGTCCGTATCAGTAAAAGAAACTCAAAAAGAATAGGCAGAAACAAGAAATGATGCAGTGATTCTGCTCATATATTGATAAGAGTGTGTCAGGAGAGTATGAATAACTACAGCTTAGATGAATCCGACCACCTCAGTCAAAATTTGTAAATTTGGGACATTTGCAAACAATTGCACTTGTAACCATTCCAAAGATTCATTTGGTTCATTATTTCAACTGCAAAATTCGTATCCAGTTTCTTCAAAGCTACATAGTATATAGGAATTATTATAGCTCCAGAATTCTCATTAGTTTTCTCAAAGCTTGTATTCAAGAACTTCTAGATTAGCGACTCTGCAGAGGAAATAGAAGAAAAGTGTCGAAAGGCAGTAAGTGACTTCGAATCTCGTCTTACCTATGATCCAGAAAAACGACCGGCTATTGCTAACTTGGTATGTAAAGAAAATTTTTGAAAATTAGAAGTCGTTTAAAAAAAGCTTTCCCGATTGTAGATCGATTTATTCTGCGCGGTCACTGGAAAAGACACTGCCTACGTCTTGCAACAAAATTGGGACCAATTTCATCTCAAAAAAGCGCTGTCTCAAGCGGTCAAGGAGAGATTCCTCCCCATACGCGAAAAGCTTCTCCGACTAGAGAAAGGAAACGAGGTGAGCCCTTCGAGTTGCTTTGATTTTTCCAAT